AAGGACCAGCATAAACCAGCAAAGGACCAGCTTAAACCAGCATCAAAACATACCTAACCAGCATATGCTGTTTTTTTCAACAGGGAGGGAACTTTTGATACAGTAGGCGAATCATCTATTCAAGTATTGTGTTCGTTTTGGAGTTATCAATATGTCACGACAGATAATATCAGTTCCATTTAGTCTTTTGTCATACGATTTCTTCATAAAGCATATTCTCAGATATCATGCGTTCCTGAATACAACATCTGCATAAATACTTCGGTTAATTTGAGTAGGTAGCAAAAAATGTCGGACTGAATAAACATCCACGATCAACTACCGTTACGTTTTCGATTCATATTTATGCAAAACAAACACGATATAGCGTCTGAGTGTAAAGTTTTTAGCCAATCAGAAGCTAGCTTAGATTGCGCCATTACAGCAACGGATGCTAGCATGGGAAAAAAATTCCACGAAAGGAATGCAAGCAGTATTTTCTAATCCAAACATTGAAAGTGATTCCCTTGTACATTAAAAAAACGGTAATACTGTACAAATGCGATTTTGATTGATGCAGGCCAGGCTAATTTGTGGTTGTAACCCTGCTTAGGGTGTTAGACAACTTGAACTAGTACAGTGGTTCTCAACTGGTTTTGCTTCAGGATACTGATTTTACATAGTTTTTATAAATTACGGTACTTAAACTTGAAATGTATTAATATTACAATGAACTTCTTAAGGCCACACTGCGGAAGTGATGGATATTTTTGTCTTGTTTTCCAGTAGATAGGTCTAAAAACATTATTAAATCAAGGTACATTAAATGACAAAATACGAAGTCTTGTTTTCTGAAAATTTTAGTTTTTACTTTAGACAAGATAAAATATCAGCCAATAAGGTCAGAAAAATAAACGTATTTCAAAGGGATACGTTTCAATTGGCTTTTTTTCCCTTCTTTTTTTAAGCATAAAGTCACTTCATTTTGATTACTTTTTAATATGCAGTATGCAGAATATCTAACATGACTTCTGCACAAACTGTTTATTCTTGTATTGCCTCTATTGTATTCTGAATGTTTGTTTTGTAGTTTTTACCATGCAACATTTTATTCATGGTTTTCAAGAGACTGGCATATGTCCTAATTGGCGAGTTACTAATAATATACATGAATTTCTGCCGAAATATCATTGGGTGTGATTTGATGCACAACCTGCCCTTTGATGCCAACAACAAAAGATATGGTAAGAATTTGTTTCATATACTGCCTTAACTGTGTGTTATTACATAGTTAATTGCATTTTATCATTTGCATTTAACATTATACACTTCTTCCGTTTCCATTTCCATTGCTTTTCAGATCAGACCTTCGACCCACTATTTGAGAACCACTCCACTAGTACTCACCTACCACAAGTTACGTATTAACCCTTTTTAATTCTTTCACTCATGGAATGAAAAATACATCAGAACAACAAAAAACAGTGGTCTAAATCTAAAACAAACTGGTCCCAGATGATGATCACAAAACCGGTTTATCATGGTTTCCGCCGTTCTCCAAAATGCATGGGTTTGTTTCTCACCGGCAGAGATATCAGTCACTCCCACCGTAAGTTCCTGATTAACAATTAATGAGAGGTCACTCATTTAACTTAAAAAAAAAAAAAAATTAAGCAATGCACAAGACAGATAACAAAAAACATTCACAGTGCTATGATTACAATTATAATATCAGTTACAATTATAATAATCAAGATAAAATGCAAATGATGGTCGATATTGTTTCTTCTTATGACTGTCCAAGCACCTTGCTGTTCTGAGGTTAGAATCAAACTAGTTCACATAAGTACCTTGCAGTCATCGTTAAGTGCCTGCAGGTGGCAGCACCTATACATTATAGATGTTTCTTCTTGGTGATCCCGTTCTGCACGTGTTTCCTAAGAGGAAGGAAGAAAGGTGAAAAGCACACTGTCAGGCTTTAAGGATGTGATCGCAGGATGCATGTGGCATGGTTGGATATCACTTCACTTCAAGGTCTGAGAGATAAGGACAGGACTAATGCCATGACGCTTGTCACATATACATGAGACGGCACTTTCATCCAATCTCCACGTCTCACAGATCAGGTCGAAACAGACCGTCACACTCCGTGATCTCCGATTGCGTAACCCTAAACCTACAGCTATTGCTGTCATAAGGTGTGTGGAACAAAGCGGTCTTAGTGGTTAGTATATCGAAAGCTATAATAAAACACTGCCCAACTGTGAAACTTTTAAAGGGGCCCAGATTAAGCACAAATCAAGCATCTAATATAGCCTTGTTTTATATACTCTTCTGGTCCTAGTTAGCGCTATATTTTAGTAAAGCAAAACTGCATTTTCAAAGAAATGGAACATTATGCTGCCTTCAGGTCATGTTGGAATGAGCACATTTATGGGTCAAGTGCACTTGTTGCCTACACCACCATAAAAATGATAAATACTAGTAGGAATAGGCAAAAACATTTTGGTTCAAAAGAAGTCAATCAAGGTAGTTGACTCTACGGGTCTCAGTTCTGCCTGAACTGCTAGTTGACCACACGACTTCCTCTTGGTTACATGCACATGCTGTAAACCTGCGCTAACCACCGACTGCTGCATTTCTTTGCTTACCCTTCAGTAGACATCTGATCATTAGTGTCTTTTTGCTCCTTTAGGTTCTCATCTTCGTACTCCCGGACGTCATTTACCTCCGTCATCTGGCCCGTCAGGGCCTTCACCACGAACAGCACAATGAACTGTTAAAAGAAAACATTTGACATTTACAGAGAATTTTCATAGCAATAACACATAAGAAATGTAACTTGAACAGGGTAAATGATGGTAGGTAATTGTTCTAAAAGTTCTAAACCAGTTATCCAAAGTTTGTAGGTTAAAATTCAAGTTACAGTTAAAGTCAGGGTAGCATGCACTGTTCATGTTGTAAGCGTACTGCAAGACACTTTGGATAAAGTATCTGCTAGATATCTAGCTAACACGATCTGACACTACTGATATCAGGTCAGTAAGATTTAATTTTAGAAGTAGTCATTTTAGTAGACATTTTTATGTTAAGCTACCTAAAGTACACTTATTCCTGGGACAATCCCTCTAGAGCAGGGGTGTCCATACTAGTGATGTTCGGTTCCTGAACGAATCGTTCTTTTGAGCCAGTTCTCAGGAAGTAACCGGTCGAGCCGGTTCACAAATCGAACTGAATCGAACTTTAGTTCAGGGTTGATGAGGACGCACAGCCGAAGTAGCACTAGCCTGAGGCGCGTACTGGAAATATGCTTATTATGACTGTTATTAATTTACATTTTATTAAAACCTGCAAAAACCTTTTTTGTCCAGTGATGTAAATAAATTTTACTATAGTTTATTGTGCATGCATATTATATTTAAAGTTGCTTAAGCGAAATCAAGGAGTTTATAAGACTGGCTTATTCTTTCTTTATACTTTAGACATGTAGAACATATCTGCGTTTGTAAAAAAAAAAAAATTTATAATAATTAAATTCTAATTTAATTAGAATTTTTGTGCATCAATGTCTGTAATGTGTGCTGTAGGTGCAAAACTTTTAGGAATCTTATTCGAGTTGTAGGCTAGTCAATATTGGTCAGTCAGTAGTATCTGACATAAAGGATCCACGAATGAAACTGTGACCACAAACACCATTAACTTAAGTGAATTATATGGCAATAATCAGCAAAATGCGTTCACACAAATTACTTAATTTTTTGAATGTTTCAATATGCGTTCACACAAATTACTTATTTGAATTTTTCATTGATACAACATGGCACTGAGTTAGAAAAGAAATGCATAGGGACGTACTGCTTAACGTCAGGAACCGATGAATCGGCTTTTTGAACCGATTCAATGAGCCGATCTGTCCGAAAAGAACCGGTTCGCAGAAATGAATCAGACATCACTAGTCCATACTTGGTCCTGGAGGGCCACTGTACTGCAGAGTTTAGCTCCAACTTGCATCAACACACCTGCCTAGAAGTTTCAAGTAGACCTAGAATAGCTGGTTCAGGTGTGTTTAATTGGGGTTGGAGCTAAATTCTGTAGGACAGTGGCCCAGCAGGAGCAGGACTGGACACACCTGCTCTACAGCAATTGTTCGAACACACCTGATTCAGGTCATCAGCTCATTAGGTTGTCTCCCTTATCTGACGCACTAATGAGCTGATTGGTCATATCAGGTGTGTTTAATAAGGGGACATCCAAAATGTGCACTGTTGGAAGTACTCCCGCATCAGGGTTGGGAAACACTGCACTAGAGTAAACTGGGGCCTATCTAATTGAACTGTTTGATGATATCTCTCAGTGGATTCATTGTAAGGCTCAAGCCAGCAACCTTCGGTTTACTAACCCTGAGCTACACTACACTGCTGTTGTGTTCTTAAACTACCCATTCTTACCAGGAACCAGTAGATATTCATGAGGAGCAGGGCAAACAGGAGTATGTTGAAGAAAAAGTAGAAAGGGATGTGGGGAACCGACTGGACGCTGGTGACACAGGAGGCCCACAGAACTTTGAGGGGGAACCAGTACAACCGGAACCAAAACCTGCACAAACAGCAAGAACAAACTAGCTCACATGTGAAGGTGACTGGATCTCTCAAGCATCCTCTGGACAGGCTAAAAGTCCATTACAAAAGGGCCAATAGGTAGTTGTTACTCATACAATGGATATGGCAGAGCAGAGGTGGGAAAACTCTGGCCTTTGAGGGCTAAGCAATCCTGAAGATTTTTTTCAAACTCTGCAGGAAAGTGGACCTGGACTGTTAGAGTGGCCCACCCCTGTTATAATTAAACCAAGAAGGGCATTTTGCTAGATGAACACCTATTGTTGTTGCATAGCATTCCTATCAACCTTTCCTAACCCTAATCCAAGGGTACCCAATCCTGCTTCTACAGATCTACCCTACTCCAGAGTTTAGGTCCAGAAATTACTGTAAGTTTTGTGAGATCAAAGTGGAGGATTGAGCAAACCAATCCCTGAAATGTTAGGGCAATGATCAGTTGATGGGAATGTTGTCCCGGGACCAAAGAAGGGTGTGTGCCTACTTATGCAAATCACTTTTAGGCTTGTATAAGGTTTCAATGCTGTGTCACTATATACACATCAATAAGAAAACTTCTGGTTTCTTGAATAACAGGCAAACCTCACCATGTGATGCTAAAACTAATGGCCCCCATGTTGGACAGGACATCATTGATGAGGTACTCTTTCCCTCCCCGGGTCTTGAAGTAAACATTGAGCTTGGTGAACTCCAACTGAATGTCATTGATGTCATGAAGAAAGAGGACAAGAATGCCAATGTTGTGGTATCTGAGGACGATACGAACAGTGATGAGTGGATAATGAACTGTGCTTTTAGTGGCATATAAATAGAGTTGATTATTTGTCAATTGTTGTAACTATGGAAACTAGAACTTCAAAACCCCATTTTGACAGGCTGTAGCATCACTGCTTTAACAAAGCCTGTGAATTTGCCTGACCTGAAGGCATAGGAGAATGTGATCAGGGCCAGAGTGATGAAGTGATGCACCACCATCACAAGGGAGTCCTTCCTCCAGGCATCCATGTAGATGGTGGCATATATGGAATGGCCGTAGAAGCTGCCCTGGATTAGGTAAGCTATTGTGATATCAGTGGGAACCGACATCCCACTCTTCCAGTCTAAGCCAAGAAAGAGAGAACAAACAAGTGACACCGAGTTCTCCAAGTGAACCCTGCAACCATAAAAAAAACAACTCTAGATTTTAATGACCTTGACTTTCAAACAGTGGAACACTGGCCTCATAAAACAGATGATTTATACTGATATAGTAGAGATTTAAGTTGTTTGTATGTTGCTGGCAAGGGGCATTCACACTATCCGTGATTTGCAACCACAAGATGCCATTCATTTTTAATGACAGGTGATGGATTCTGGCCTTTCTGGTCTTTGGCGATGTGACAAACTTTATGCAAATAAGCAATGACATGATACAGCAACAACCAATGGGAGCGTAACTAGTGATCAGTTGCCAGCGAGAATGGGCCTTCATTGTGTTGATAAGGAGTGTTAACAGATAATAGCAACTTGTGACTTTTAATATTTATTAATCAGATCTTTAGTCATTTAACATTTAACCTGTTCCTCAAGATGTCTAACATCCCCCCCCCAACCACACAAGTTTTGTTGGACGTTCAATGATTATTAAGTATATTTATACCACTTAAAAGTAGCATGCAATAAGTTTACTACACAACTCAAATGCTTGTAAGAAACTAAAGGTTGAGCTATTCAGGCCCGACAGGGTTTAATCAAATGATTACATACAAAAACAGGACATGTGTCAAGTATGAACCTTACCGTAAAACACAGATGGGGGGTTTTGAAAGAAGGAATAGCTAGTGAAAAACAAAAGGTAGGTGCTGTATGACCATGACATTGTGTAGAAGACCAGCTTCCACGCACTCTCCGGCATCTTTGAGACATCTTTTGGTTGGATACAACACCATTGTGCAAAAGGCTGTGAAAGACAAGAGGAAAGAATGAAATTAAAGTGCCTGCATTTGAATAGCAGGTGTTCATCCGTCAACAAAGACATCTAGGAACCAAATTACAGAGGATAAATGATGCTAAACCATGCTACCATGTAAAATTATCAACAAAGGTTAATTTACCATGCTGTCCTTAATACTTATTACATAGTAACTTTGACTCATTTATGCATTTAACTCTCTTGAAAGTGAATGTTAACTATGTATATCTCCCCAAGTGCCACAAAGTTGGTGTGATGTCATGCAACCACAACAGGGCTAAATCAATTTTCAAGACTTTCTAAGTTAAAAACAGCATAAATTATTTATATAAATTCACATTAAACAAAACAAGAAATAGTAAAGCATCTTTGTGACTTCCTAGAGTAGGATGAGTTATAAAAAAGGCCACTCTGATTAGCTCATGACATTGGATGACTCACATGATCCACTGATGGTAATAACCTCAAGCTAAAGTAGTACCTCATCTTTGCTAAACTTGGGTACTTTGTTTATGTGTGTACTGACATGCATTCACCTCGCCTCTCCTGTGACAGACTATCCTGCATGTGAAGCCGAATGACACCGTAACTGAAGATGCGATTAAAAGCTTTTCTTAATCATTTATCTATTCATGATCACCACCTTTACTTGCCGTTACCTGATGTGCACTCTCCCTTGTGCTCAGGACAATCAAAAAAAGTAGGCCTTCGAAACTAGGCATATACGTTGACATTATGTGGCCCCACAATTGTGGACGTAGGTCTCATGGTTGCCTCTGATTGGTCATAAGGCAATGTGGCTCGCACTGCAGGATTCTGCTCTCCGCCTCCACCCGCTGGGGTTATTTATAGAGGCCAGCTGTCACCAAAATGCCCCACCCCCATTTGTCTATCACTGCCTCTAGCTGAGGTTCAGGCTGTCTGCTGCTGATGCTGGTGGCTGCGGATGACTGCAGCTTTTGGATGACTGCGGATGACTGCAGCTTATGGTTGTGATAGACAGCACACATCCTTTCTCAGCTGAGCAGCCTGACATTGCTCTGTGGTCTAATCGCCACAAGTTAATCAAAGATTAGTTTAGGCCGGTCCCAAAAGACAACCACGAATGAGATCTCTTTAATATTCCAATTGCTTGCTCTAGAAGTTCAATGAAGACCTTCAATGCTTCTCAGACTGACTGTTTTCTTCTGGTAAATTGCCATATTAATAAAATTTACCATATCACAGTAGTCAATACACTAAGGAAAACAAATAAGTTTTTAGCAAGGACTTAAAAACAGACAAAGAAGGGGCCATTCTAATCTCTAAAGGTAGGGTATTCCAGAGTATTCCAGTGTAGAGATCTGAGAATTGGAGTGATGTGTTCATGTTTACGACACTTTAAAAGAAGTCTGGCCGCAGCATTTTGGACAAGCTGAAGACGCGCAATTTGAGATTTAGATATACCGCAATATAAAGAATTGCAGTAATCTAGACGAGACGTAACGAACACATGAACAGCCATTTCTAGAGTTTTAGGAGTGAGAAAGTTTTTAATTTTAGACAGTAAACGAAGCTGATAGAAACTGGACCCAATGACAGAAGAGATATGTTTATCAAATTTTAAATGCTGGTCGAGTAGAATACCTAGGTTCCGCACCCGCGAGGATCTAAAAACGGATAAACTTTCTAACTCAGGGCTTATACACTGAGAGTTATCATTTGGACCGAAAACAATTACCTCGGTCTTGTCTTCATTTAGGAAGAGGAAATTTTGGGCTAGCCATGATTTAACCTCCTCTAAACATTTCAGAAGAGAAGTAATCGCAGTGGAATTGTTTTTCTTGATTGGTAGATAGATTTGAGTGTCATCTGCATAGAAATTAAAAGACACACCATGTTTTCGTAGAATAGAGCCCAGAGGTAACATGTAAAGAGAGAATAGTATGACTCAAATAAGAATTTTCACCAGAAAATGTCATCTGAACAAGTAACATGTCTGCCACTTTTGTTCTGACCAACTGAGGGGAAAAAAAGCATTACAATACGTTGCACTAACAATGGTGATTAAATCTAATGATCGCTTAGCTCATATCACATCAAACCATGCAAATTATTATTATTGTTATACTTTGTTCTCAAAATGTTAATGTTGACATCAGCATTGCGTGACTACATCTATTTAGTGTGTATTAGCGTTACCTGTAGACTACTGGTGAATCTCCAGTTGACCTTTCTGGATTACAATCCACCATCAAAATGATAAATCAATTATTACAGATGCTGTGAGAAAAGGCTATAAATGATCCGCCACCTGCAGCATCCTCACATTAGATATAGCCTACTAGCCGGGACTCCTTCTTTATGTTTGCAGAGGTGACGCAATGACGCAAAGACGAACGGCAATATGCTTGTATTTCCAGCGTAAGCCTACCAGTACCACTCAAATTAGAAAACATTATTACAAGCTTACCGTTGTGGATCAGGCTAAAGTAAGGAGAAAGTTTTGAACACTGGCTGGTTATGTACTTGCCCAAAAATTGATTTTGGATCATTTTTTACCCAAAAAAGTTACGGACTGCAGCTTTAATGAAACGCAAATTAGTTCCCCAAAAAGTCTCCTGAGCTTTGGAAGACCACCCTCTGGGCAGTAGAAGTTTCCTCTGGGAATGCAGTCTTGTTATGGAAGACACATTACAAGCCATATTAGGCCGCCAACTACTTCTCCTCACTCTCCCAGCACATGAACGCCAAGCAGAAGCGAGGGCTGAACTGAACCCATTCTGGACCTGGTGACCAAATGCAACTGAAATACGTTTTGTTTTGGGGTCTTGTACAAGAGCTGACCTATCGGCTAAACATGCAGTTTCCATGGCAACTGTTTGAGGATAGCAGGTGGTTTTGTAGAATAAATAAAAGACAAATGACAACAAACACAATGAATAAGCCCATCTCTCACACATGTAAAAAGCTTTCCATCACACAATGTCATTTCCCTACTGGTTCGATGCTCTCTTTGGATTTCCACTGTACTACAAGAGCAACTTGAAGAATAAATAAAAGACAAATGACAACAAACAATGAAAAAGGACAAGCTCATCTCCCACGTATGTAAACAGTCATTTCCTTACATTTCCTTCAGCTTGGTGTTTTTTTTAGGATCTGCATTACATTAAAAGAGCAAGTTAAAAGGACAGTCAACCAAATATTCTGTCATTATTAACTCATACCTTTCTTAACCAATAGTTTCCCTTTAAAGTTTATTTGAATCTTCATGCAACTTCTCATATGGATCACTTTTGTCAAATATAGTCACTTGTATGGAAGTCAAGAATGAAGATTATTTTACTAACGTGTTCCATGCAGGTTAAAAATGACAACGGGTGAGTAAATCATGACAATTTGAATTTTTGGGTGGAAAGGGACACTCGCTTGTTATGAGGGTGCAAAAATATAAACGGATCAGATCATAAGGAGATATAAGAGTTTTATAAGAATAGAACCTTTTCCCCAATACTCTTGAGGGGACAAATGTCATAAAAGAGACAAAAGTATCTCCACAGGGCCAGATGGAGCCACATCTTACTCATTTTCCCCTCAAAAAACGTCCTGCTTCCTTCCTGTTGGGGCTGAGTTATGTTTCCTTAAGCTTTGATTGTTCTTGGAATTACTGGTTTATTTTCGGTCATCATTTCTGGTGAAAATGATGTATCAGATCAAGAGATCAGAGTAGACGTAACAGGGCGTCACAATGAGGAAGGAAGGATGCAGATGTTTTTAGATGCCTACTGATAATAACACGCAGTTTCCACTTCCAAACATTCATAGCATTCAGCTTCAATACAAGTATCTAGTACAGTGCAGCGTATCAGGTCTCTGAGCGGGCATAAATTAGTGAGTGCTTTAATTGTCTTTCAGGGTCAATATATGGGGCTGCACATTTTGAAGGGTTACGTTTAGAAGAATCTTCTATCAGCATTAGCTAATAACCATTTCTGCTTGGTCATATAAATGGAGCGTAGCGATAGATCTGGCAGGCCATTATGTCAGCTTGCATCAGCTGATCCACGTCTACCTATAGGATCACGACACCAATCATAATTCCCTTCATAAGGTCCCTTCAGTCATTATTCAGCAGCTATCGCTTCGCTCAGGAACTAATCACCCACCTCCATCCCCAGCTCCTCCTCTCGTCCAGTCAGGACTTGGCAGTGAATATATCATTGAGTCAGACCACTGAATCATGTTGTTAAAATAATCACGTAGAACATTAATGGTATCTGCTACATTTATCATTGATGTTGGTTCTGTTCTGTTACCCTAGGGGGCGGTATTCTGCTCTCTCTGCTCCTATCCATGCTAGGCTGCGTGGATGGGCAGGGAGTGTTTGCCCAGAACAGAACCATTCCCCCAACCTAAAATATATGCTAATCGTAAGTTATATTGACAATAGTGGTCCTGACAGAAGTACTATTTTGTGTCAATTTCAAAATCTAGAAATTACTCTGTCAGTATATGTATACATAATTGATTACTTAAAAATTGATTGACAGTCTTTTAATAGGTCAATGAAAGATCAGTGCACCTGCTGGTGTCGCAATTACGTTTGTTCAGCATGTGTTAAGAATGTAAATCATTCAAACACATCTGTAACTTTACTATCTGAAGAGCTGATGACCTCTGTCCGTATGAACTGCTGTTAAGACACAGAACTCAAAGGTTAGCTGGTGCCTGCAGAATCCACAGTGTGACATGATATTCCTTTGGCAGCTCTTCAGACAGCTGATGTTTGCCAGAACACGATATTGTCATGTATTTTGATTTAAGTGGAGTGATTACTGAAAATATCCTCTGGTCCAGTGAATAGTGATCATCACAGTCTCATCAAAGGTCAAAACAGCATGCCGTTGGCCACCCAGCATGCAGTCAACATCTTGTTTTTTTTCACACACACAGTTTACACTGTACTGGCCAGATGGCCTTGTGCTAGTCATCCATCGAGCCTGAAAACGTGAAAGTGCAAGGGAACTTAAAAAATGAATGGATCTCATTAGCACTAAGAGCTCATGCCATAAATTGTTTATTAGGCAACATGGAGATTCGTTTAAAAAGCAGGCAGAAAGATCATGTTACGTACCGCACGCATGTATTTGAGAGTGCAGGACATAGTCCACAAAACACTTTAAATCTGCAGACTATGTCAGAAATTATCTCCCAAGACATACAAGACAATCTTGTGGCCAAAGTACAGTATACTAAAACTGCAGTAGCGAGTTCAGACGGTTCAGACCAAAAAACGGTTCCAAAAGGGCTCCATGTGACTTGTGCACTATATTTTATGTATTCTGAAAGTCCTATGATAGCTTAGTGTGAAGAACAGACCCATATTTAAGTCATTAATCACTGAAAACCTTAACATCTTCCCCAGCAATCCTTGGCACATTTCATGAATCAGAATGATTTAATCTTTTGAATCAGATCTTTTCAACGAGTCAGTCCATCCAGTCCCTTTACAAAGTTATCCGGTTTTCAGGTTCTGCTCACTGACTCCAGGGGTTGACAGTTCACTGAAAGGGAAGATTATCAGTAAATAATTGGTTCCTCATTTAAACCTATCCTATACATTTGCGTTCTCATTGATTTGATAGATGATCAATGGTTTGATCATATGGCTACATGTTGACTTTAATACTGTGTTATGTAGAAGGGGACACCCTCTTTCACAGAGAGGGTATTATTAGCCAAGAAGCACAAGTTACACTGATAAGAGACTAACGGTCTACAAGTGGCAAATGCTTATCTTTTTATTTTCAAAGCCATGCCTGTTTTTAATCACAAACGACGGTGCTGCAACTCTTTGCCAAGACCTCGCTGTCTCTTACTCAAGGGTTACAAACCAGACAAGGTCCTGACACGTCACATATTTCCGTATAAACATCACGCCAGCTGCCCCACGCCATCCGTCAGGGTTTCTCAACGTGCTGAGAGAAAACAATTTACAGAAGGGGGAATAAACCGCGGCCCAGAGCAAACGTGAATGCAGGGGACCCAACCCATATTGATCCCGCTAATTGCAGCACATGTGCTGAACAAGGGAGAGTCATAAACGCACTTGAAAAGCATGTTTCCGCCCCACATGTTTCAGGACAGGAAGTGAAACCGACATTTGCATACGTCAGCTAAACTGAAAATAAGCTTCAAATGCAAAATGTGGGGATATCATAATCCCAGACGCGAGGCAATTTGGTAAAGTTCATGTCTAGGAAACTTGATAGTAATATGGCCTGTTTGCATAGCCATCTTTGTATGTAAAAGTATGTAAAAGGTAAAATGCAAAGTAAAAAAAACTATGTAAAATAGCTCTTGTGCACATTGTAACTTTGTACAGTGAGTTTAAAATGAATTCCAGCGAACAAAACCTCTGAGGACTTTCTAGTTCAACAGAAGATAAACTACACCACAAACACAACTTAACAATTTGCAGTCACAGTTGAAATAATGACTTGTGAACTTTCTGCATCAAGTGTCAAGGCTTCTGTTATACTGCTCTCCAGAAACAACAAGAGCTAAAAACTCGACTTTTGAGTGGTTTGCTTGAGCACAACTCAGTCAGATTACTAACACCAAGTATGGGTGGTAGTACTAGTAATACTTGACACCATTAAAAACCACAGAAGCACACTTTCCCACATGTAGATGCACAAATGACCTTTCATATACAAATGGTGATGCAACGTCCAATGTTTCAAAACAACTTCAAATATTCATTGAGGGTGCCAGTGATGCTTTCAGGACCTGGTGTTTAATACTCAAACAGTTACAGGATACGCTAATGAACTTTTACATTTTTCAATAGCCGATGCCAGAATTTGAATTGTTTAAATGTGTTTTTTTTACTTTAAACTGCATAAACACATTTCATTACACCAAATACACAAAATAATGTTCTTTTTAGCAGCATCATATGACCCCTTTAAAACCCACTGTACACAGTATAAATAACCGATACCAGTGTGTCACTTGTTGCATTTGCATTGATAGTGACTTCTTCAGTATAGTTACCTCAAAGATGTACACAGTCAGTCCCCTGCGCACCTTCGTCCACATGACCGCGCACAGGAGGAACATGAAGATCTCTGTCCAGGTTATGTATGCATGATCCAGCAAGGTTCTCCTGGACAGCTCCAGCCCACAGTCTTTACAGTCTCTAAAAGCACTGAACATGACTGAATATGCTCTAGTGATGAGCTCCGTATAGCCAGGCATGATCTCCATCTCCATGCCATCACTGGAGGAACCATCATCCATATGATTGGGGTCCATTATATTAGAAATACTATAGTAGCAAGCCACTTAGGGGCTGGAAAGCAATGCACAATGCAAAAGTGCCACCAACTATAGCTGCTGTAAACCTTAAGCTGATTATGGTCTCTGAAGTATCCTGTCTTTTCTTGTCTTCTAAATTAAGACTTGTAAACTACTAATGCTAATTAACAAATTATGCCAAACAAACATTAACCCCTAATGCCAAGAGAAAAGAGATTAGGCTATTTTATATCCTATATTGCATATATGCCAATGTCGGCCATTGGGGTGTTAATGGCTTTAGAGTGCCACCATCATCTGCTTCAATAGCCTATAACAAGAAACCTTCTCTGTATAAAATATTCACTACAACACTTCCCTTACCGTATGGTTACCAAATCCATTGCCCAATATAAGAATCAGCATGCCTGCATAACAGTTCCTATATTATAAATTTAAGTCGATGGCTTACAATTTAAGCATTCTGAGCAACCCTGAAATGAAAGGTTGATCAAAACCATAACCAGTGTCGATTCGCCTCTTTATATTCCGCGCATGTGCCAAAATAGCGCGTCCTCTTCTTTTCGTTATTCAGTATACATAACATCTCCTCTAGGGTTTCATCTCATGTCGAGAGGTTTAAAGCAGAAATTATCCCTCGGTATGTCCATATGTGGGTCGGATATAGAAAACAGGTAGAAATAAAAGTCGCCAAATTAATACGCTCAGCATGTGATACAGGCCTATTCACAAATGCACAACAAGAAAAAAAAACGCAAATGTCTATGAAAATGTGTCTAAAATCTACCTAAAGCATCCCGTGAGAAGCGACACGCGCCGCGCCGTG